ACGAGCCCTACACCTTCATGCAGACACCAGGTGTTTCATCATAGGGCCATAGGACTATACGTCTGACATACAGTCCAGCTGCCTCACGATCACGTGGATCGCAGCCATCTGTATCGCATGGATCGCATCCATCCATGTCATAGACACATGATCACAGCCACTTGGGTCACAACCATCAGTATCACAGCCACTTGAGGTCCATCCAGCTATGTCGCAGTCACAGGGATCGCATCCATCTTCATTAGCGACTCCATCTATTTCAGGCCTTCGCCTGCGAGGTAGTAGCTAGGACCCCCCTACACCGTCCACACATGCCTATGATATACATGCTTCCGAAGATGATGCTGATGATGATGAGGAGGTGCATTATGATCAATATGGCAGGATCATCATAGTCCCTGAGGGTGATGGATAAGAGTTATTTGTTATTTTTGCGTTTATTCTTTTGTAAAGTTTTTACTAAGATATTAATGTGTTTTTATTGTTAAATTGCAGGTTCATACCGAGTAATAAGAATACGAGGATAATCAGCAAATCCATCAGAAAGCCTCATGATGGCCCTTATGCGACTTGGACTGATTTTCCATTCTCGCTGAAGGAGCAAATTTTCAATCAATTTAAGGTATAAATGTTCTTTTAAGCAGTTTAATAATTTATATTTATGATATTTACATATAATATTTAACTTTAGAAATACAGAGCAAGTGTGTATGGGAACATCGCTATAGCGCGGAAGTAGCTGCAAATTTTCATCACAAAGCTCACAAGCGATTGTCGCATACTTTCTCCGAAGCTAGAAAGAAGAACAAGAAGCATGACTGGTTACTTCAAAATTTATGGGATGATTTGCAAAGGCAATGGCTTACTGCAAAGTTCTTAGAGAAGAGCGAAAAAGAAAAGAAAGCTCGCGTATCTGAGAAGGGAGGCTCCTTGCACACTGGAGGTTCGACCAGCCCAGGGACAATAAAAAGAAGATTGGTACGCAATTGCTTAAATTATTTTAATTTTCAAAGTATATCTATTATGTGTATTAACTAAATTAATTTTTTTTCAGGAAAAGAAGTTGGGGCATCCAATGAACCATGATGAGTTATTCAAGGAGACGCATATTGTAAAGAAGAAGAAAGAGACGGATCAAGAAAGGTGGGTCGAGGACCGGGCATCGACTGTATATGTAAGCTTTCACTTTTCTTTAAGTATTTTAATTTACTTTTATATAAGTTTTGAAATATTAATTCAATTTAAATTTTCGTATAGGGTCGCTACCAAACTAACATGGAGAAATTTATCCGCACTCAGCCAGCTGCTGAATCGGGCAAGCCAACCCAACCTTCGGACGAGGATGCAGAAAGAATATGGATGGATTTTGCTGGCGGTCCAAAATGAGGGAAGGTATATGGGCTTCCTACTAAAAAGTTCCATCGCTATAAGTGTGGAATGCAAGGAATAGGGACTTCCTCGCAAGGCGAGAAACTTAATGGGGAGAGCCTCTCTGCTATGCGGGAGACCGTGACAAAGCTCACATCCGAGCTAGAAGCGGCCAAGGAAAGAGAAAGGGTTAGAGATGCTCAATTCCTTGGCATGCAAGCTTAGATCAGAACTCTCCTATCTACTGGAGCTTTTCCGTTGCCCCGGTCTCGTGAGTCATCGCCAGAGGCTCGACTTGAACGTGAGCGTTCCTTCCGTCCTCCCCGTGATCGTTCATCCCGTCCTCCCCGTGGTCGTTCTTCACGTCCTCCACAAGATCCTTCTCGACGCCGTCTTTTAGATGAAAGTTCATCAGACGGTGATGATGATGATGTTGTACAAAACACTCCTTTACTTGTATATACTTTGACGTAGACAAATAGAATCGGTTCTAAACTAGTTGTAATAAGTAGGTTTTGGATTTTTTAGTTCTATTGAACTTTAATTTGTTAGTTTTAATGTATTTATTTAATTGTGCTGTTGGTGTTGTTGTTGTTATTGTTGTTGTTGTTGTTGTTGTTGTTGTTGTTGTTATTGTTGTTGTTGTTGTTGTTGTTATTTAGGGATTTTGGTATGCTGGCAGGTAGTGTAGCTGCCAAAACAGGCGCTTTATGCCAAAATTAAAACCTAGAAAAACGACCAAAGTTGGTCGGTATCTAATTAAAAAAAATAATTTTCTGCTGATTAGCGACCAAGGTTGGTCGCTTAATTTTTTTAAAAAAATAAAAAATTACCGACCAAAGTTGGTTGGTTAATGAACATGGATTACCCAGATTTCTACTTTACCGACCAACTTTGGTCGGTATGGTTAAATTTTAAATTTTTAAAAAAATATATATTTTACTTTACCGACCAACTTTGGTCGCTAATTTTTAAATTTTAATAATTAATAAAATAACGTAATTTAAATACACCGACCAACTTTGGTCGGTAAAATTAAATTATTAAAATATGTTACCGACCAACGTTGGTCGGTATGTGCTTTAAATTGTACAGTTGTTCCTTTTACCTTTGCGACCAACCTTGGTCGGTAATTACCGACCAACCTTGGTCGGTATACTAAAGCGACCACCAAAAGAGCGACCAAGCCTGTTTGGTCGCATTTTTGTCGGTAATTTGCCTAAACAGACCAACGTTGGTCGTTTTTTTTGGTCGCTAATTAACGAATTTCTAACCGTGAAAGTTGCGTGCATGTATGAAAAAAAGAATGTTTTTGGCCGTCCTTTTTATAATGTGTTTATCAATAAAGAAGGTGGTAGGAAATTATGTGTAATTTAGATACAAGTCTCTCTTTCAGAAGTTTTGTGGAAGGTGAAATGATCGTCTGTGGAAATTTAACAGAAAAGTCGCAGGATTGTGAAGTGTGGTGCATGTATTTTGATGAATCGTATGGAACTCAGCAACAAGTAGGAAAACAAATCCATCGACGTTGATGTACTTATTATGCGTTCAATGACACAATAGCTAAACAGATTCTATATCTGGAAACAAGCTACTTCCCTCAACTTCTTAGAAAATTCCAAGGTAGAATGAATAAATTAAACGATTCGCAATTATCTTCAGGAAGGTCCTCACATCTTGGCGGATCCAGGATTTTGTACTTTATCGGTTCAATTTTTAAGGTTTTAGCATTGAAACCATTATATTTTTAAGGTTATGGCTTCATATCTACTATTTTTATAATTTTAATGAATTTTTACATATAAATTTTTACTTCACGTAGAAAATTATGGGCTCAATTGAACCCGTCATCAACACTCTACGTCCGCCTCTAATTACATTCATATAGCTCACGAACATTTACATTCAGTGCAATTTAACTACTTTTCACTCTATTTTTTAGGTTACCATATCAAACATATAATTATAAAAAGTTACATGTTCTTATTGGTTAAGTTTATCTACATAAAACATGGGTTAAATAAACATTCCATTCAAGAATGGGCCTTTACTCACTTTATGATAAAGTAAATTTAAAATTCAATGATTCTTTTATCGTAAGTCTTTGCACATTTCTTTATCTGATTCTTGACCTTTCTCATTAATATATACATACATCTACTTACTATTTCGTCAATTCCAATGCCCTGTTTGACTATTACATTTTCCGTTCACTTTTACTTGGCATGTATATTAAAAATAGATTTTTATTTTTACTTGTCACTTTACGCATATCAAGAGAAGACAAAAAAAAATTTCCTGTTATACCCACATTATTTATTACTCATTTCAAATCATTTTCTCAAATCCAATAAATATGCATCAATTAATATGTGTATCATAATAAATTATGCACTTCATTTATCATTCCTTAAGAGGCGTGAAAAGTCAAAACATGTCAAAGTAAAAGTAAACGGAGGGAGTAGAACATTATTATCTAGGATACAATGTCTTTTAACGAATCGAACAATAGTATGTCCCCTTATACCATTAGGCATGACTTCTAACTAGGTGGCTTTGAACAGAAATTTGTGTCGATACTTTTATTTGCCACAAGAAATTAGACTATCGTCACAACAAGTATTTGATTAATCACTATCCCTGATAAATGATGTGGCTCATGTAGTAAGTAAGGTCAATAAGTAATTTTTCCTTTTTTAAAAAAAATAATCTATCATTACCATTCTAATTAGTGAAATTTTTGCAATCAAGTGAGCTGTTTAAGGAGAGATAAAGTTTAGGCAAATGTTCTTACGATTATAACTATAAAATACCTTTCTTAAGATGTGCACAGTAATTTTAAATGACAGATAAAATGGACCGAAAGTCCTAGCATGCATTATTATAAATAAGAAGTGAGAACAGTGAGACAGTAGTGGGTTGTTTGGATGTTTGTTACCCATTGTTTTATAATGTATTTGTATTGTATTGTATCGTTTTATAAATATAATCTTTGGATAGATTGTATTATTTGGGGTTGTTAAATAACATTTTGCTGTTTGGTTTGACTGTACTGTAACTGATAAGTTTACTAAAATACCCTCAATTATTTAAATATTAAATTTATCAAGAATTACGCATAAAAATAATTTAAGAGAACCCCTGTCTACTAACTTATCACTAAATATAAGCAATTAAATTCATGCAAATTCTAACAAAATTAGCAATTTTACGTTGGAGTTGGAAGTGTCAGAAGTTCCGGAAAAAAAAAGGGGAAAAATAGAATTATGAAGTAATAAGTTAGGGCATAATTGGAAAGAATCCCACCATACCAAATCAGTTGTTTCAAAATATGGGACTTTTTATTGTTCCGGAATAATGGATTTAACAATACAATACAACCAATTTTAATAAAACAATCAAAACAAACATTGTTTTGGAATAACAATACAATACTACGATACGAGGAGTAACAACCATCCAAACAAGCTGTTAATTTGACGGATGTAGTGTGAACAACTTGATCTCAAATGGTCATGCATGATTAGGGGCATCCTCACAACCAATATTAAACTTAATATTGTCCTTTGCTTTTTCTTTTGAAATTGTAGCTGCATTCCTTCATCATCTCTTCTATTCCGAAGGGTATAAATACATCCCTCCATCTAACTTTTCATAACATAACCACCTCGCAACATCTAGAATTGTCAAGGATATAGAGAAGAGAGAATATGTACAAGATGTTTTCTATATCCACTTCACTTTTCTTGAAGCCTAGAGCTAGGTGAAATTTTTTCGACCACTTAAATAATTCGTATTATATATATTCTTTTGCCTCGGGTCGTTACCGTCGTGTACGTTTGCTCTCTCTATATATAACATTGAGTAATAAATCATGTTCTTCTTTCACATATGCAGTTTGAAAGTTCAAGGAGATGAGGGAATTGGTACGTGAAATTGAAGTGAATTATGGCTTTATTATAAATTTTCTTTTACATTTTGTGGTCTTCTTTACTATTTTTGATGAAGTGGAAGTACAAATCCATGCAGCGACTGCAGGTTATTATTCAACAAGAGTAGCCCGCAACCCAAACTTGGAGAAGTTGCAAACTAACTATTTGTTTCCCGAGGTTAGCAAACTTGAGATATCTCTTGGGTGCATGAGTGCATAAGGTTAAGTCGTTAAAAAAAGACATTTAATATATAGCATTATTATTAATCATAAGGTTATTAACATAACTACTATTTATCTCTCTCTTAAATGTTTTACTTAATAGCCCTTTACTAATTGGAGCACATGAGTAGATTTAGAAAAAAAGTATACTAATTTATTTTATTTTATTTTTAAAAAGTACTCCCTCCATTTCAATAATGACAATTTCATTTGTTTATTCAGAATCAAATTGTGTGAAGTTTTAATAATATTTTTAAATATTTTTTAAATTATATTGACATGAGAAAAATTACGACTTATAGTATTTTTCGTATAGTTTTTGAATATTTAAATTTTAGTTTTAATAAATTAGATTGAACTAATTCAATTTAGCTTCAAAGTTTAGTCAAATTGAATCTCGCTAAGCGAAATGTGTCGTCTAAATTGAGACAGGAGGAGTATCAAATATTTTAAAATAAATTTAGTGTACCGAAAACAATTTAACATTATCCTTGTTAGCTTTTGATGGTTTAAGTGGAAGAATGTAATTAGAGGCTAGTGTGATTTGTGTTTTGTTAACTAATGGTTTGTTTTAGCAGATCATAGATAGGGAGGTTAAGCATATGGAGAAGTACCCAAATGCTAAAGTAATAAGCCTTGGGATCGGTGACACTACACAGCCCTTACCCCAGCCTGTAGCCTTGAGCATGTCTAATGTGCGTAAGACAATCAACTACTACTATTAATCCGCTTGAATTTATGTGAATATGTTTAACTGGGCATGAAATTTAAGAAAAAATAAAGATTTTTTGAATTTGTGGTACTAAACAAGTCAAAAAAGAGGTCTACAGTATTTGTATAGTTATAAAAGCTTCTCATTAAGAGTAGAATTGGAAGTTCAAGCTAAATGATTTTCAAATTTAGAGAGAGATTATTTTTTTTTAATGGACCAAAAATTAAATAGGTTCAATTAAGACGATACGATTATAGGGTTTGCACCCCCTTGAGAAGAAAAAGGCAAAGAAATATTTTTTTTGATTTGTTTATTATTTGGTGGTTGTTGACGGGAAAATAAAATAAATTGTGTGAACCCTTTTCTCGTAACTTTCTTTCTTTCCTTTTTTTTTTTTTTTTTTTTTCCAAAGATTTTCCTCTGAATATACTGGAATTTGCAAATGGTTTGTGTGTGAATTCTTGACAAGGGCCATTAAAAACAAGTTTGAAAGATTCAAGCAGTTTCGTCTACAGAAGATATGCTGTTTTAAATTTTGGCGAAGAATGGTCCAAATCAGACCAAATAGTAATCGGTTTGATTTCAAAGTTCAGAAAATTTATTATATTTAAAAAAAAAAAATCTGCATCATTTTTTATTTAATTTGACCGCCAAATCAAACAGCGCACACCCCTAATTTAAACATACTCATTCCAAAGTTTAGCCTTGGCTTCCACTAGTATCGAAATAAGCTCTTAGCACTAGAGGATTTCTCAACTATTTGTTGAGTTTTATAATGCTTTGGTTGAACGAAAATAAAAGAGGGTTTGTAGGTTGAGCCATCACTATACGCCATTTAAAACTCCATGTTGCTTCTACAATCAGAGACGGCTTAAATATATGTGTGGCCTAAAGCCAAAGTTTAACGTGAGGCTTAAATTTTTTTTTTAAAATTATTAATAATTTTTTATAATCAATTTCCTCTAATAATTCCTTTTCAATTGATAATATAGCCAACAAATTTAATCATATATTGAGACATTGTTAATCTTAGGTAAGATTTTATCAATTATAATCTTGAAAACATCTTTTCTTTGAGACAACTATTATAGAAAAACTCTACTTTTATACGAAAAGTACTAAATATTTTTTTTTAAATACATATAAATCTATTATATCTAAAAACTAGAGCCCCCAAGATTTGGGGGCCTAAGGCAAAAGCCTTATTACTTGGATCTACATTAGAGTCGGCCCTGCTACAAATACATAAACCCTAGAAGATATGTACAATGAAATTCCATTAGAAATAGCGTGGGATAGCTACTTTTTAACATGATATGTAGTTTTTATCCAGTATTTTTAATGTTGAGCAAAAATAGCCACTACTCTATTAAAATTAATACGAAAAGACGTTTTTACCCTTTCTTCATGAGTGTTGTGTAAATATTAAGGGCATGGTGTCCTTAACATTTACACTGTACACATGAAGTTAAGGACGCCATGTCCTTAACATTTACACTGCATATATGAAGTTAAGGACTTGACAGGACACTTTGTCCTTAATATTTACACAGCATTCATGAAGTTAAGGACACCATGTCTTTAATATTTACACAACACCCATGTCTAGCATAGGGGTATTTTCATCCGGGCAGATAAAAATTTATTAAGCATTGGCTAAAGAGTAAATATATTTTATACAGTGGCTAAAGAGTAAAGACATCTCTAATTAGTGGCTAACCATGCACTTCCCCGAAATTCCACGACCGACAACAAAATTTTAAAGGGGAAACTACACTATATGCCTACAAAAGTCAAATTATTTACCCGCTTTTGCCCATCTTTAAACTATTTATTATTTTTACCTATAGGCTCTAAATTTATTACGCCTGCCCATTCCTCTTTCCCCATGTTTTCTCCTTGATTCAACAGTAAGGGTCCGATGTAAATGCAATGCCCTTCATATAAAATTCTACTCTTTCATTATGCAATCATTTACCTGTAAAAAGGAAGTTTAGTGTAACTATTTTATTTTATCTTTATTTTTTAAAATTAAAAGGAGTTTATTTCTACAATATGCAAAATCACGACACTTATAAATTAGTTATGTAAATAATTTTTTTATGATAAATATCGTTAGTAACCTAATAAAATTACAATAAACATAAGTTATATAACAAACAAATAGTATGTTAATAGATTAAAATATTTTTATGTTATTACTAATGTATATAACTTAAATCAACAAACAAAAAATCTCTTAAACTTCAATAATGAATCAACTATGATTCTAGTATTGCTAATACATGAAATGGTAATGCCTTGCTAGTTATATCTTAGAATATATTTTTAAATTTTGGGTTGAAATTGTGTTGAACTAGCATAGAAGACAGATTTGTACTGTATACCAAAATGGTATATTGAATACTGTATTGGTATACAATAATTAATTCAAGAGTATATAATTACCTACTATAGTATACTACTAATTTTTTGAAGGAATGTACCAATCCTCTATGTACCAAAATAACATATTATATACCATTTTGGTTAATTCAATAGTGTATAATTTATTGCTTTGAACTGGCAAAGAAGAATTTGTACTGTATACCAAAATGATATACTATATACCATTTTGGTATACAGTTCATTCCAATGATATACTATTCTAGTATACTATATAATGTAACGGTATACTCTTACAATTAGGTCCTTTTAGAATTTTTTGAAATTTTTATTGACAACTGATATTTATTCAGTTTAATAATTGAATTAAAAATTTTTTTTTAAACTCTTTGTGTACAATTATATACCATGTTGGTATATCTATATACTATACTGGTATCATATGTTAGTTAATATTTTTTGATTGTATTAGCTACATTTAATTGGTACATAATTTAATTTTTCTTTAGTAATAGTATAAAAAAAAGAATAATAAAAAATAGTAAAAACACTAAATAAAATTAGATTATGAAGAGAAAAAGAATATAAAAAAAGAAGTTAAATGAAATTAGAAAAGGAAAAAAGAAAAAAATAAGAAGAAACGAGAAAAAAGAAAAGGAGAAAAGAAAAAAAATAAAAAAGAAAAGAAAAGAAGCATAGAAATAAAAAAGAATTGGAGAATAAAGAAAAAATTCCCCACAAAAACCTACTATGGGTAGAATACCTACTATGGGTAGAAAATGTAATTAGTTTATGGGTAGGAAAACAAATGGATAGATAAGGGTAAATAGTTTTGTTTTTGTGGATAACTGTGTCAAAACCCCTATTAAACGTATAACTTCTTTTTCAATATGAATGACTTGTCGTTTTTATTTGCAGTACGCACGTGCTCTTTCAACACATCAAGGTTATACAGGCTACGGACTGGAACAGGGGAACAAGGTGGGATATTTTCTATTTTTTCTTCTTGTTGCCCTAACATGCAAACTATTGCATAGCAAAACTTATACAGAGAAAGTAATATTTTCCCATTTAATTTCGCAGGATCTAAGAAAAGAAATTGTAGAAACATTCTATAAGGATCTTTCAGTAGAAGAAACAGAAATTTTTGTATCTGATGGTGCACAGTGTGATCTCTCCAGAGTTCAGGTACCTAAACTATCCTATATTCCCCAGACAGGTTAAGAAAAGAAAAAAGACTTGTTTAATATGTCTACTCATGACACAATAGTTATGTTTTTATGCAGCTCCTTCTTGGTTCCAATGTGTCAATTGCTGTACAGGATCCATCATTTCCAGTGAGTTTAGCCGAAAACATTAATAAATTAAAGAGATTTTGTGGAACTAATTAACTAATTTGTGCAGGGATATATAGATTCAAGTGTGATTATGGGGCAGAGTGGTGAGTTGAGGAATGAGTCAGGGAAGTATGGAAATATCAAGTATATGAAGTGTAGCCCTGAGAATGATTTTTTCCCAGATCTTTCTAAAACAGCAAGAACAGATGTTATCTTCTTTTGCTCTCCAAACAATCCTAGTGGTCATGCAGCATCAAGGGCACAATTGCAGCAACTTGTAGAGTTTGCCCAACTAAATGGTTCAATCATTGTCTATGACTCTGCTTATGCTGCTTATGTTTCAGACTCAAGCCCTAAGTCTATCTATGAGATCCCTGGTTCCAGAAAGGTGATTGAATTTCTTCTTATTTACTTAGCTCCATTGTTCAATCATTTATCTAAATTACTTAATTTTATGTTACAGGTTGCCATTGAGATTTCATCCTTCTCCAAAATGGCTGGATTCACAGGTGTCCGTCTTGGATGGACTGTAGTGCCTAAGGAACTCCTATACTCAAATGGCTTTCCTGTTATACTCGATTTCAATCGCGTTATATGTACTACCTTTAATGGTGCTTCCAACATAGCTCAGGCTGGTGGTCTGGCCTGTCTCTCCCCCGAGGGTTTCAAGGTAAAATTAGAGATGCTATTTCACTTATGCTCAAAAGAATTTCTAAATATGTAATGTCACCATTTTTACAGGAAATTATGTCCAAGGTAGACTACTACAAGGAGAATGCAAAGATTTTGGTTGACACTTTTGCTTCACTGGGATTTAGAGTTTATGGAGGTAGCAATGCGCCTTACGTTTGGGTTCATTTTCCACATTCAAGATCATGGGATGTGTTCAATTGGATTCTTGAGAAGACACACATAATTACAGTCCCTGGGATTGGATTTGGTCCGGGTGGTGAAGGATACATAAGAATTTCTGGTTTCGGACGTAGAGAGAGCATCTTGGAGGCATCTAAAAGACTAACAACCTTGCTTTGTTAGACAAAAAACTACTCAATGTTGGTTTTGCAACTTCTGTCTTGACTCTTGATGTTCTAACAGATACTGCTACAAATCAAGTTCTATTTCTCAAGTTTTTCACTTAATAAGGTCCAACTGATTTCTATCTAAGAGGTCGAATCCTATCTTTGTTGTTTGCTCAATTCCCTTAACCTTCACCTTCATCACGCCCAACTCTAGTCCAAAAAAAGATAAGTGGTCGCTGCAAATATACGTAGGGAGTGACGTTGTTCAACATTTATCTAAATATATATTTTCTCTCAAGCAACACATAATAAATAGGCATAGCTAATCGATGGCTATTCAATCAATTGAAATAAGCATATACTTGAATAAGTAGAGAAATTCAAATGCTCAATTATATTAAAACATAACAAGAACTCATCTTAAAAAGGTTCTATCAAAATACTAGATGACAAAATTAGCTACGCATAATATTACATAGAAATATAATCTGAATTGATACTAACAATGAAAGGAAAAACTCATGGATGAACCTTCCTCTTTGCTCCTAACGTATCCTTGCCTCAAAAGTATTGTCTTCCTCCATGGTGTTTTCCCCCTTAAATAGGATGTTTCAGGATGTATTTATATCGATTAGGATTTGTATGGAGCAGAACTTAACACTCCAAGTTCGTATAGGAGAGCAGCGGGGCGTGCCATGGTTCGCGCTTCGCGCGGCCTCAATGCATGCTCCTAGCTCTTTAAATTTTCTCCTCTGGCATTGGAATATTCCTCTGGCACGTCTAGGTCAATTGTTTCTCATTCTCTTCTTCCAAAGCTTATCTAGAAGGGTCGATGGGGGATTGAACTCTTCTTCTATTGCTTCATAGTCAACCAAAACCTTATCTTCAAATATCTCAATTGAATCTGAGTTGTCTTGTAGAGTGGTAACTTCTTTCTTTATATGATCATCCTCTTGGATATTCTCATAGGGTAATTCCCGCAAATAATCATCATCACATTGCAATGGTTTTCTAACATCATACTTACTAATTGACTGTAACGACCCGGCCGATCGTTTTTAGAATTTACGTCCCGATCCCCTATTAACTGCTTTCCCCAAGTTTATTTCTGCTATTTTGATTTGCCGGGATTTTTGGTTTTGAGTTTCGGGGAGTTTTGGGACACTTAGTCCCTAAATGAGAGCTTAAGTGTTTGGAAAGTGGTCCGTAGTCAGAACAGTGTGAAGATGGCCTCGGAATGGGAATCCGATGGTTCCGTTAGCTCCGTTAGGTGATTTCGGGTTTAGGGGCCTGGTCGGATTGTATTTTGAAGGTTCGTAGCTAATTTAGGCTTGAAATGCCGAAGTTTGAATTTTTGAAGTTTCCGGTCCGATAGTGAGATTTTGATCCGAGAGTCAGAATGGAATTCTGGAAGTTGCAGTAGTTTCGTCATGTCATTTGGGATGTGTGTGTAAAATTTCAGGTCATTCGGACGTGGTTTGGTTAGGTTTTTGATCGAAAGCGTATTTTGAGGAAATTGGAGTTCTTAGGCTTAAATCCTTGATTAATTCGAGTTTCCGACGTTGTCTTAGGTGGTTTAAGGATTGGTACAAGTTTGAATGATGTTATGGGATATGTCTATAGGTTTGGTTGAGGTCCCGGGGGCCTCGGGTGTGTTTTGGATGCTCAACGGGGCATTTTGGAGTTGTTTAAAATTGCAGAATTTTCTTCAGCTGTTGCAGACCCTTTTCTTCTTCGTGATCGCGTCCTCCTCCACGCGTTCGCGTAGAGTAATCTTGGAGGAGGACCAGTTACCTCTTCGCGTTCGCGTTCAATACTCCCGCGTTCGTGAAGCTTTGGCAGTTTTCTCCATCGCGTTCGCAGCCAAGCCCTCGCATTCGCGTAGCGTTATTTGGCGCTGAGGGCTGTGTCTATTTTCTTCATCGTGTCCGCATGCCCTATCTCGCGTTCGCGTAGCCTTGCCAGTCCAAGCCTTCGCGTTCGCGTACTGTTCCATGCGTTCGCATAGGGAAATTCGGGCAGCCTTCATTTTCCCTTCTTCACGAACGCGTGACTTCCTCCGCGTTCGCGATGCATTAAATATCTGGGCAGTTATAAAAATTTCAAAACGAGGGTTTAGCCATTTTTACCAAAACTCAAGCTTGAGAGCTCGGATTTGAGCGAGATTTCGAGGGTTTTTCAGAGACATCGTTGGGTAACGATTCTAAACTCCTTTTTGCTTGTAACCTACTAATCTAAGCGTTAATTCCTCCTTTAATTTCGGATTTTGAATGAAAATTGATAAAACTTCATAGACTGAATTATTGAGTTTTGAGTGGCGAAAATGTTAATAGACCGAAAGTGTTAATTTTACCCGATTCCGAGACATTGGCCTGAGGGGCGTTTTGGTTATTTTACCTAATTTCGCGTCTTAGCTTTGAATTAAATCGTAGAATCAATTGCTTGAGATGTTATTTACGATATGTAATTGAATTGAATAGATTTGGGCCATTCGGAGTCGGATACTCGTGGCAAACGTGTGGTTTCGAGTTGATTTTGGAGCCGGTTCGAGGTAAGTGGCTTGTCTAACCTTGTGTGGGGGGCTTTTACCCTTAGGATTGATATTGTGGTAATTGAAATGCCTCGTGCGTGAGGTGACGAGCGCGCACTTGTGCTAATTGTTGGAAATCCGATTTTTCTTTTAAAATAGCCTTGAATTGTGTTCCTCTTTTCCCTGCTTACACTGTTTGGATATTAAACCTGTTGTAGCTTAGAGAAGCATGTCTACTTGACTAAATTGTTTTATCTGTCTTAACTGTCTTAATTGTACTACGTGAATCATGCTAGGTTAGGATTACCTGTTTCACTTTGATCTGAAATTGATTGGATTGAATTTTGCTGTTGCTGTGTATTTACTTTGGGACTACGGAACGGTATTCCGGGAGATCCCCCTGCACTTTATTTTGGGACTACGGGACGGTATCCCGGGAGCTCCCTATATGTTTACTTTGGGACTACGGAATTGCATTCCGGGAGATCCCCTGCACATTTATGAGTTGGACTACGGGACTGCACCCGGGAGATCCACTGGACATGATATTTATATTTGGGGACTACAGGACGGTATCCTGGGAGATCCCCGGTTGTTATCTCGGAACTGAGTTATGTTCTTTTACTGTGTTTTGCTTGCCTTTGTAATAATTATTGTTGTCCTTTATATATTATGTTATTTAATTACACTGTCATTTCACACTGTTAAACCTGTATCTTATTTAACCCCAGTAGGGCCCTGACCTTCCTCATCACTACCCAACGGAGGTTAGGCTTGACACTTACTGAGTACCACTGTGGTGTACTCATGCCCTTTCTACGCATGTTTTTCATGTGCAGATCCAGGTACTGCTGCATAGACTTACCATCCTTAAGGCAGGGAGAGCTTTGGAGACTTCGAGGTACATCTGCCGCGTCCGCAGACCGAAGAGTCTCCATCTTTATTCTATCTTGTAGTATTAGCCCTTCTATTATTTTGTTGATGTAGACATTCCGGAGTTAGAGCATTTTTACTATATTTCTCTTAGCTTGTGTTCCCGTGAGTTTCGAATTTTGGGATAGTATTGTAGAAGGTTGAGATATTGTGTTGTATGTGCCGAGTGGCATTTTACATTTCGTTTCCATTTTGTTAAATCTTGGTTTTAAGTTATAACTTCTGCAAGGTTTCAATTGTTTTTCCGCACTTGTTAGGGTTACCTAGTCGTAGGGACTAGGTGCCGTCACGACAGTTCACGGAGGGCGAACTAGGATCGTGACATTGACTCAATTGTTTTGTAAGATTCTTAATGCCACGATCCGGAATCCTGACCTCGGGGTCATGATGATGCATAACATTTACTTGCTAGGCAAGCCGACATGAAACAGAATTAACTGATTTTAAAAATTTATAACAAGATATTAACAACGAACATGATATATATTTGAAGTATAGTAAAATAATACCGAACAGCAAAGTCTAAACATAACCCAGAAGCTAGTATCACGAGTACATGAACATCTAGAGTGCTACAAACATGGTGTGAACAAAATACACTATTTTTAAACTCAATAAAACAGTAAAGAAAGGGAGGAACGGGACTTCAAGGCTACGAACGTCGTGCAGTTGTACTTCAAGTCTTCGTCAGCGACTGAATCCGAGCAAAAGCTAATGAAAGCCGCTAGGACCAACTCCGGTACCTGCACAAGAAGTGCAGACTGTAGTATGAGTATAACCGACCCCATGTACTCTGTAAGTGTCGAGCCTAACCAACAACAACAATAACAACAACAACAACAACAGTAACAGTAATAATAATAATAATAATAATAATAATAATAATAATAATAATAATAATAATAATAATAATAATAATAATAATAATAATAATAATAATAATGATAATGATAATAGTAATAGTAATAATAGTAATAATAGTAACAACCATAGTAATATAATAACAATAGCAACAACAATAGTAATAGTAATAATAAAATAATAATGATAATAATAATAATAATAATAATAATAATAATAATAATAATAATAATAACAATAATAATATTTATTATTATAGTAATAATAATAATAATAATAATAATAATAATAATAATAATAATAATAATAATAATAATAATAGTAGTAGTATAGTTATAGGAATAATAATAATAATAACAGTAACAATAGTAGTAGTAATGATAATAATAATAATAATAATAATAATAATAATAATAATAATAATAATAATAATAATAATAATAATAATAATAGTAACAATAACAATAACAATAATAATAATAACAACAACAACGACAACAACAACAACAACAACAACAACAACAACAACAACAACAGTAATAACAGTAACAATAATAATAACAATAGTAACAATAATAATAATAATACTAACAATAGTAGGAAAGGAAAGACAGGAAATGGAAGTAAAGCTATTAACTTGTGAATACAATAACAACAAGTACAACACACACAAGTAGCAAATATGCACGGAGTCATGGAAGGGACGAACAATTTAATACAAGAATAATTAAATGACAAACAACAGTTACGGCTTAGAAGTCAAATAAAGCATATAACAATTAAGGCATGGAATAAGACAATTCATGAAATAACGAGAAACATGGAACACATATCTTGACGGCGTAT